TAATATTTGACTCGCATGAAACTCACGCTATGGAAAGCATTAAAAAAATTTTTGCCAATAGACGAGTGGTAAAATTGGTTTCTTCGTATATTTGCACAAGCTTGTGTCTTGTTCCCATCCAACATCTCTGTTCAGACTGCTTACTTGTAACATATCCTTAAGAGGGCGCAACAATCAAGGGATAGGTCTTTCTCTTCGCTTCAAACCGTCGTTCCGTTGAAAGATGTGGAATCCTCAAGGGCACGCGCGGACGAACAAGATGACAGACAGATTGAAATAATAGATTTGGACAGAGAAACTACGCCTGTTACCACAAGAGAGAAACCCGCATCATTACGAGAGCATCATGTTATCAATGAATACGATAAAACTCCACCGTTAGACATATCGTTAAACGAGACTGCCGTTCAAATCGATTATAACGCTGATCCTCGTTACTCCTTCCCTCCATCAAAGCAGCGAACAAAGTCTTTAAATCCATACGCTTCCAAACAGAAGTCAAGGCCGGATGATAAACCTTATGATTCCATTGTTGAGAAAAGAAATTCATTTGACGTGACCTCAACGAACTTGAGGCTGGAAAAGAGCAACGCTAATTTAAGTATGCAATTTCTAACCAAAAACAAGGATTCTAACAATTCAATAATAAAAGATAAACATAATGGACATGATGAAAAACAAAAAGATGCAAAAGAAGCACCAGCCACAATCTTTAACCTGAATCCGTTATCAAATACATCGGGGAATAAAGAAGTTCTGACATGTGAACGAGGATCGGTCAACTATGGGGCAGAATATTCAATTAAGAAATCTAACATAACGTGTAAGATCGATGATTTCTAGTTTATGTAAAGCGATGACAACAAATTGAATTTATACCAATAAAGGTATCACCTCTCTTGGGAGGGATAAACGAAAAAATCAAGATCCGAGAAAGGATAATGCTAATGGTCGAGTAATTAAGAAAGGGCGAAAGAGTTTGTCGACGGTATATTCGTAGAATTATATATGTAATCGCGCCAGTTTTCATTCGGTGTTAAATATTTCTTGGTTGAATTTAAGACCAAAGATGACGCAAGTGCGGTGATGAGCGATGAAGAGTTTTGGAATCCACGGAACTCATTGATCGAAGCAGATGAAGATGTTAACATACTACAGCGGCTTAGACCCAACTATCGTTAGTATCATATCCCATAGACATTAGCTCGTGCATAATCTCTATGAAAATATTCATTTTATTTATTTATTTTTACAGATAGAAATTTAGTCGCTGGAAAAAATGGAAAACGTGGTAATTTCGATTGTATTAGTTACATCAAAGAAATAATTTTGATTTTCTACGTAAATAGGTTCCTTTGTGGAAAGGTTGCGTGCATTAGAAAACTCTTTGGAGAGTGATGAGGAAGATCAAAAGTCAAATGGTAATCCTTTTCATATTGTCAAAATGTTCTTACAAGGTCCACAAGTTTGCTCACGAAAGATTACGTCTTACTTTTCAAAGGAGATTATATTCTTTGCTCAAGAGAAAGTTCACCGGTCATTAGCGATCTCGTTGAAACTGCGCCAATAAAAATCTCTGGAAAAATGAAGGTTCACAGAGGACGGGAAAATGAGGATCCGGCCACCGATGAAGATGATATTGGGGAGAATTTGATGCCGTCTGGTGATTTTGTTAGTGAAAGAGAAGAAACTCGTAGATTTGCAAGCGAAAGCTTGGATGAAGAAATAAGGAACCTGTTAAAACTCGTTGGTGAGGTGAGGTGTTGTGCGAGAGGCATTAGCTTTTAAAAAAATTATAATCGATCTACTGACATCAGTAATCGTTCCTTTAGACAATCTTTAGACAATTTCAGCGGCAAGACTCCGCCTTATTTCAAGCAACCGAGAATGTAATTATTAAGAGTGAGATGCACCTGGCCAAAAGTTTAAGAAGTCAGTTCGGACGCAAGTATGATGTGATCCTCTACACCAAATACTGTACAGTGTTAAATTTCTTAATGTGTTATTAATCACCTACGTCGTCAACGAAAATGTAGAAGGGAATGGCTAAATACATTCAAATGCAATTGTACATCGGAAGAATCTGAATCTCGACAAATAATGAATAAGCTAAGGGAAGAAAGAAGTGAATTGGAGAATTTGGAACAAGCATTAATTGAGATGGAAAATATGGAATTAGAAGTTGGACGAGATGAGCCAAGTTGGACGAGATGAGCTAAATTAGACAAAGATGTTTCATGACCTTTATAACAAACTAATTATTCTCGCAATCCATGTGTCAGATTCTATTCGCGTGAAAGAATAAATACTGAATGCGATTTTATTAAATAAAATAATATTATTAAGGAATACGTATATACAAAATACAATACAATACAGTAAGAATACAGATCAATAATCTAATGCCGAATTTACACTTAGTGCAATTATATAAATACAAGTAGACAAACTATGATCATAAATAATTACAAGATACAAAAAAGAATTTAAATAAATTAATCCCTTTGGGCAACTTGGAAATCTTTCAATTGTTTAATGCTATTTTCCTTGGCTATTAACAACTGTACAACACTTCTTGTACCGATAGTGAGGCGTGTCTATATTGCTCGGTCGCTTGATCCAATTGTATCTTCAGGGTGAACACCTGTTTATCGAGTTCTGCGTTTTCTTGTTTTATACCGTGTAATTGCCGTTTCGACTCCTTCAGTAATTTTTGATTTTCGGAAAGCGACTCTTCTAGTGACGCTATCACTCTCGATTTTTCATTTTCCCTTTCTTCTATTTCAGCCGTCATTTTATGCATGTCGTTAGAATAATTTTCTTGTTTCTTGGCCTCTTCTTCAAGTGAAACCTTCAATTCCATTATGCGTTTCTGTTGTTCGTGCGAAAGGTTTTCAATTTCAGCAAGTCTCTCGGCCGTTGAATTAAGGTCTTCTTTTAATTTCTTATGCTCTTGCTGGAGGTTGTTATGATGATCTTCCAGCTCCAACTTGATTTTACATTGTTCTCCTTTTTCATTTTCTAGTTGGACCATCTTGCCCTCTAATTCCATGATCGTCTGCTGAC